CAATTTAGGTGAGACATTCAGGAGTCTGTTCTTTCAGTATCGGGTGGGAGAACGGACAATTTCATCAATTGTGGAGGAAACTTGTAAAGCATTGTACATGAAACTGAAAGATGAATATCTAAAGGTGTGTAATCTATATAACACAACGTTAACGATTATTGGAAGGGAATCAAATTCTAAATAAAACAAGCAAATCGTATTATTTCTATTTTTATTGCAATGATCATTCAATGGACAGTATTTTTAATCAAAGTTGTTTATCGGCTTGCATGTCACCACTTTTTATATTTTGAAACCTCCAGATGTCTTCGGGGGCACTAAAGGTCTGGCATGAAGAGTGGGATGATGGACATGGCTCCTTACTGTTAAACTGGGAATGAGTGCTTACAGCCTGATTGGTTATGCCTGTCATACTATAACTGGAATTATCTCGTTGGAAAAAATGTGGTTGTGGTGGTAGAGGCACAATAGATCCATATGGGTTTTCTTGAGCTAATAAACCAGTTTGTGCCTGGAAAGGATTTGATTGATTTTATGTTGAGCCAAATGTTGAACTCTAGTGTCAAGTTCAGATAATGTTTGTGTCACATATTGTCCAAATGCATCAAGCTGCCTGTTTGCTGGTTTTCTGTGCCTTTGCTTTTCTTTCAGCAATGGATTGTGCCAAACCTTGTATCAATTTATATTGTTCTTCAGCTTTGCCTCTTCCTGTTTGGTTTTAATTTAACAGGCTCTTTTGTTGATCTTGCTTCCTCCTGCTCTTCGTCAATGGATGGACTTGCTCCAACTTCAACAAGAAAGAACTTGTTATTCTTCAGAGCTTCTTGAAGAGACATGTTGAACTCAGAAAATGGACATTTGATTTCAAATCTCCAGGTTTCATTTTTGTAAGTGACTTCACCATCTAATGAAGCACCAAGATGAGGAAGACAATTGTCGACCATCTTTAGAAACTTGAGGAGCATCAATACCTTTATCTTTCAGTAGCATTATAAGGCTCTTCAACATGTGCTTCGTGTTTCTGGTCATTGCAAGTTGCAGCCATTGTGAAAGATTTATAAAATATAGATTTAAGCTTGGAAGAAGGTTCAGCAGAGTTTACAGCAGCAAAGTAAAAGTTGGGTGCAGTGATTTGATACATACGATGCTTTTTCCAATCATCATTTGAAGCTTGACCATGTGTTGATTTCTCAATATTGGAAATTTCTTCTTGGGACAATGTTGTATTATAGCAATAATTGCCCATCATTTCTCTGAAGGAGGAAGTTGAAATGTCGTAATATTCATTGAAGGAGATGGATTCATAGAAGAAAAGATGTTCAAGATTGGATGCAGAAGCCTCAGTTGAAGCAAATGTGTGAGAATCTGCAGGTTCAGAAATTTCATGAAAGCCAAAAAACCACTGTTTGTTAAAGCTTCTGCCAATTTCGTTTGAAGGGCTTCAAGTCTTTTATCATTGATAGCTTTATCAGATGTGGATCAAAGAATTTATAGCGAGACAAATTACTTTTATCATTGTCCTTTCAAAACTTGATTTTTGTATTATCACTTCATCTTTTGGAGAGGAATTGTTTGATTTAAGAGCAGATGCATTTGGAACATTCTAAGAAGACAGCTTTGAAGTGCATGATACAGCAGATGAATACTCTCGTAAACCACGTGTGTTGAAGTCTTCAAGAGCAAAGAGAACACCTCCAACATGGTTACAGTTGCCAAAACCACGAAGACCAATGCCAGCAGGACAAGTACATGCAGCAGAGCAAACATCACCAGACTTGACTGACAATTGTGAAATAACTTTGTATAAACACTTGTTCATTGAAGCTTTGATGATGAGAAATTCGGGTAATTTGGTTGTTTTTACTGTTAAAGTCGATATCAATTTGTTCAAGCTCCAGAATTTCATCTTCAAGCTCCCAAGGAAATTCTTTGTATATTTAGGCAACATCTGTCTCCAAAAAGCTTGCCAAGACATCAGCTGTAGCATTTAAAGAGATTTGGTGATTGTTTGTTGAAATGGTTATCTCACATGTTAAGGTGAGGGGGCTTTTTGCAATTGGCATGCGGCGAGTGGAAAATGGGCACGTTATGAACTTTTCGGTCCTTGTAGTTGCTAATTTTCTTGTGCAGTTTTTGTTTACGCATGTATTGATAAGGGAAATTTTAGTAGATATTATCTCTGGGCAAAAGACCTTCTTTTGAACTACGGCATCTGACAAGTATGTTTCCATATCAACAAATTCCCAATTGAAGGTTTCTTCGCTGTCAATTTTTGTTATGATTGTTGTGCTTCTTGTTGATAATTTAATGCCATGGTACTGCTTAACAGCAACGTGGCTGATGTTTAAAGTATGAAGCTCCTCTATTTGCTCTATTTGTTCATTCCAAAACTAATTCTGAACATGGCCAGAGTGGTCTAAAAGAACCGCATCCCTCACATATTTTGGTGGAGATGGGTCATTCAGGGGAATTAACCTTTTTTCCCCAATCCACTGTAGCTATCCCTGGACAGAATGGAGGCCGGAAGTTTGTTTTTTCATTTTTTGGACAGTTAGTGGTAACTGTTTGGAACGATTAATATTTTGTTTGGAAGAGCATTTAAGGAGGTCACTACGCTGAAAGGAATTGAAGAAGGAGATGCCCTGTCTGCCAGTAGTTATATTTGATGAAGTGGCAGCGTCACCTTCATTTTGTTTTTGGATGAAGATATCCCAGCTTACATCTTTGTTCCATTTCTTCATTTCTCTTATTGCTATTGTGACCACATTGCTTGTAATTTGTTCTGGAAATATTAGGTGATGAGTAGTGAAATTGGTAGTTATTTTTGAAGATGTAAAATTAAATTTGCAAATAAAACAAGTGAGCCATCCATTATTTATGGAGAAGTTTTAAAAGTGACTGACAAAAAACTGATCGTTTATGAGATCAGATTTGTAAGCTGTTTTAAGACCCCTTGAACTTGGTCTGGCGTTCTTGTTCAACATCCTAATATGATGTTTAGTTGTTTCACAACCCGTATTGATACTAATACAGAAGCTTTGCATAATCAAAATGACCAGGCGAATAAATGAGTTCATGGGTCATTGAAATGTTATATGTGAGCACTCTTCAAAAATTGGATTATTTTAGATTAAAAATTGGATTATTTTAGATTAAAAATTGTTTAAGTAGATTAAACCCATTTCCTTTTGCAGTTATGGAGTTATGGTGCTCGAAATTCCCTGTTTTAGAATAACAAAGACTCTCTTATCATAAAGATAGGAAAAGCAAGATTTTCTTATCATAAACATTTTCTTCTTTGACCAGTTCTTGAAATCATCAAATAGGTTTTAAAATAGCGCTACCTGCCTTGTCTCTTAGACTGGTTAGTTGTTCTAAGGCAAGCAGCGGTAGAGTTAGTGAACGTTTGTTTTGTTTAGAGCAATTATTCTTGGTTGAAGTAAATAGAATGAAATAGTAACGAGATGATAAAAAATTTCATACGCAACAATGTTACTATGACAGGGTTCAGGTCACCAGGGTGGGAAATAGGGGCCATAGCCCGAGATTTTCCACAGAGCAAGTAATTTTGAAGGTGCAATAAAAGTTGAAAGAGGCCTTAGCCTCCCCACTTTTGCTGGCATTGCCCCCACTGACAAATTTGTGGTGTGGACCCTGGTTGAAGGTAGATATTTTGATTGTAACTGTTGAGTGTTTAGAATGTACAGCAATGTTTGAGGTAGACAATTTCAAAGAAACCTATTATTGACTGTGATAAGTGAAAATGTCAAAAATAGCGTAGAGCACTTACTTTGGCTGGGAGGAAACTGGAGCGGGCTTGTAGTACTGCTGGGAAGAAACTTTTTCTTTTGCGGTGGTGAACTTATGTTGACTAAAAATATAAAATTTTGATAATTAATGAAAGAAGACGAGTATTTGTTAAAAGTGATTTCTGAAAGGTCTTCTAATCAAAGGTGTAGTGCAGGGATCCTGATACAACTTGTTAACGCCTGAAATTTGCCAAAATTGTACTTTCGTTATTGTTTTTGAGAACATTTTGTGCATGAGCTCGCCTTGTTACTTTGATAGCACTACACCATTGCTAGTAACTATGTTTTCATAACTTAGGATCTGAAAGCTGAATAAAATTGTGGGTGCTGTTTGTATTAAAATTATGAAAATCAATTTGTACTAAATTTTAGAAACGGCACAGAAATATCTAAATTGTAAGAAAAGGGATATAAGTTCTCAATCCATGGATTAGAAAGAAAGCTGAGAACAGTGCAAGACGAGAATAAGCATCAGTTACTTCGCAGAAGCAAAGTTATTGATGCAGAAAGGTCAAAGTTTGACATAAAATGTTAGTACAATATGATCTTGCACACTTACCCTGGGCAAATTGAGCTTGAACTGTCCTTTGTTATTGGCAACTTCTTTGTGAGACTTGCAACAATGCGAATGATTGTTAGGGTTGGAAAGATGGCAGTTTGTATAGAGATAGGCGGTATGAGTAATTATAATTGGGTTTTTGATGATGTTATAAATCGTATTGAACATTGAAACATCAAGGAAGAATGTAAGGTACTTTTCGCTCTAGATGGAGATATTTTCAGATTATTTTTAGACAGTCTAATGAGATTGGATATTCTATAATTGATAAAGATGTTTTTGGTGTTTATAATCTATATTTAGGCTAATGTATTAGGGAATTTTAAGGAAATGTATTTTTAGTAAAGATCAATCATATTAAGTGAAAAATTAAGCTGGTAATGAATATCTAATTTTGATAATGGGCTGTCAAGATAAACTTGTAAAGCATGATTTTGTTTGAACGTCCAGTAATTAATGTACTGTGCATAGAGTGTCTTCTCTTTTACACAGTTCAGGAGCCTCTCAATTTCATCCTCCATGCGTGCGTATTTTTTAGCAATGTCATTGGTTGTGATTAGGTAGCTAAACAGGCTGACATCAATTTGTAAATCCAAAAGCTGCAGAAGGCAAGAACCTGTGTAAATCAGTCTGGATAAAGAAGAGTAGAACTTCTGGATCTGATATATGGCTAATGTGGTGTTAACTCTGGCATCAGTTAGAATTTCCTAACATTGAGGACTAGCTCCTTAACAATTTCTCCAGTCAAGAGAAACAAAGTATCAAAAAACTATCCTGAAGGCCATTCTTTAAAGTCAGTGAAATAGTTGGAAAATGAACTAACACAGTCTGTCAACAAGTTGCTTTTTGTTGGAAGAAGGATATACAAATATATCTGAAAGATGTACTACGAATTAGGTCTTACAAGACGATTTCTTCCTCCTTGGTATGCATATTTGAAGTTTCTAACTATAGTTACCATTGTGCTATTTGCTTAGGACTGACATCTGATTCCATTGGCTTAGCATGCTCTGTTGGAAGAAGTCGTACAAACTTGCGCAGCAGCAACTTCAAAGACACCTTGAATTGCTTGAGAAAATCTTCACAATTTTCTGGACTCCAGCTGTAATTTTGAAAGAGAGTAAATAAAGGATCAAGATTACCATGTTTCCTATGCAGAGGCAAGCACAACAGCTCCAGAAACTGTGTGAAATACACAACATTTTTCCACCTCCTGTTACCAAACAAAAATCAAATAGAATGTTTCATTTTACCTTGGCTTTTAAATGAGCGATAACAGATCTACAAGAATGGGACGCATTGAAATTTAAAAAGAAAGTATCACACCTTAACTGCTTCCTTGTAATATTGCAAGGGTGCTTTTTCCCTTATTGATAAACTTGTCTTGTCTTCCCTTTTCCTATGTGGCCCACATTCTTTCTGGGCAGCATTGATTTCTTCATCATGGTCTTTGCATGCTTCACCATCACGTAAAGTCTCTGGTAAATAAATGGCAGAACACGACTTGCCGGGTGGAGAAATTTGACCTTTACTTCATTGGTATGATACACTTTATCTAACAAATACGTCAACCTCCACTTTTCACCAGAAACACAAGCCACACAAGCTGTGGATAACTGCCAAGACATAACTTATCTTTCAACCAAATCTGACAAGGTTGCTTTTTTCCATGTTCCTTGAATAAATACAATTTTGTCAATACTTCTGTAGTACTCCCATTGACGGGAATAAAAAAATGTAGCTATAGTTTTCCAATTTCTTTCATTTTCTTTTATTTCCTCTTCAGTAACATATACAAAAACTGTGTTTGTAATGCTATCACGTACCCATTCATAAAGTTGTTGAGGAGTCTGGATCTGGCTTGAATAAGGTCGGCGTAAACTTTCATTTGCTGCAAGTCGTTTGACAGTAGCACCTATTCCATCACATGGACTTTTGCCATGAGATGTTGGCAAAAAAGAGCCATTCAACAGGCATACCAAAATCTTTTTCATAGAAAATCAGAGTACTAAAATGTTTTCTGTGTTTACAACTTTTCTATTTTTTCTGTTTTACATCTTTGTCCAGTTCCATTTTTTCATTTAAGTGTTTTATTCATTTTTGCTGAAATGCATGCACTGCAGCTGTGTCATGACCGAGACAGTCAGAAATAACTACAAAAATTTCCATCTGACTATCAGGGTTCTGTCGATAGTAGATAACAAAAGGATGAATGGAGGCTTGTCTATTTTTCCAATGGAAGCCTTGTACAGCATCCTGCATAATAAAAGAATACTTCTCTGCAAAGTCTCCAAGAATTATAGCTTCATGTGGCTTGAATTTCTTTTTTGCTTCTTTGAAGTCTAGTGATAAAATCATGAAGCTTCAGTTTTAAAAGACTTTCAAGAAGATAATTTGTGAAATCACAAGTAGATTTTGTTGAAGTTTCAAAGTTTCAAGGCTTGTTCGATCAACACCTATCCATGAGTTGAAAGTTATTTCCTCAGCATCTAATCGCTCAAAATTTCTGCCAGTTCTGTTTTTCAACAGTTTTTGCAGTTCCCAAGAAAGCAATTGCTGGTAGCTGACCTTCTATTGAATCAGTCACCAACCAAACTTCTAAATTCAGGCAATTGAAAAATGTCTGAGTCATTTTTCATTGATCAGCATCAGCTATGGTTTTGGTGAATGATACAGACACAAACACTATGTGCTCCACTATCCCCTGTTGAAACAACATTCTTTGGTCGCAATTCACAGAAATTTGAAAATCCAATCGATACTTGATTTTCTTCTTTGAATTTCAAATAGGCTTCTTCTAAAGTGCACAACCTCTTTTGAACCGTTTCCTTCACACCATGTACCCTAATCGATATACAATTTTTTTTACCAGGAATTGATTTACTATTACTACTACTACTGATCACTTCAGCACTGGCATAAAAAAACCTCTAACAAATTGAACAACATCATTGTATATTGTAATCTGGCTTTGTTACTTCTGAATTATCTAGGAAGAAATACAAGTGAATACTATAAGGATTACAAATATTGTCATTTCAATTGACAATAAAAATTAATGTGCTTTATGTGAATGAGAAATCTGTGAAGTAGTTTCTCACCTTTCTTTGAATAATCTCAAGCCTGGCGCACACTAAGAGCTTTCTGCTGAGCAAAAAGTCATTCAGCGTGCTAAGCAGGAAAGACTAGTGTGCGGTGGACTTTAATGAGCTTTTTCGTCACTTGTGACTCATCTCATGAAAATTCAACATGTTGAATAATTTTCGCCACGAGTGACTTTCTCCTGTGTGCGCTGAACCAGAAGTAGCAAGCTTGCAATAAGTCAACAAAACGCATTCGTTTCCTGGGAAAAACTAAAACAAAATGGCAGGATATACTGATGAAAATTGTGAAAGGGAAGAGGTTCTGTTTTTATGTTGCTTATGAGACGATATCGTAGGCGTTTGCGAGTGGCAAATCGGCAGGAATGGTCAAGGCCCTGGGTTATAAGGAGAGAAATAAGAGAAGCCCATGCAAATATAATTGGAGAATTGAACAGTGAAGATTCCGAACTGTTTCGTAAATATCATCGTGTAAATAGAGAAGAATTTAATGTAATATTGGTTAAAGTTAGTCCATTAATTTCAAAGAAAGAAACCCATAAAAGAAGTACAATAAAGCCATCTGAGCGCTTATCAATAACTCTGCAGTTCCTTGCTACAGGTATCTCTTCAGTTAGGTTGTTGATATTTGAGTTGCAATTTGCCAACCTTTACTAAAGCATTTGAGCCTAGCAACATTTTGCATCCAAGAAGAAATTAGAGCCTGGCTTTTATTTTTTAAATTTAAGCAACTTTTGTAAACAATCATCTTGTAAAGCTGTGTATATGTCCTAAGCATTAAATTCAGCTAACTGAAGCTCAGTAGCCAGGGGAATTTCCCCTTCTGTCTGAAGCATATGACTACATATGTTTACCCTTGTTGATGACCCCAGGTACCCTTTTCATTACCATCATAAAGTGATTCCACCCCCCTAGACAGGAGGTTGGGTACACGATTAAGCAAATATCAAGTTTATTTGGAAGTACAGTGTTCATTATGAGGGAAGTTCTCCTTCCAATAACTCTTAAAATCTATCCCACTGCTGAATGGCTTAATCCACTTTAAAAGTCATGACATTGGAGCACTTAATTCAAAAAGAAGCGATCACAAAAAGTTCACATTTGGTTTTCAAAGGTAGTTAGCCATGGAAACCTGAAAAAAATTTGGCCATTTTTTAGCACCCACTCCTGTCAGTGTACCCAATATTTTGTCTAAAGTTGCCTTCCGGTGCAAACTTGGTCCTATTGCACAAAATTAACAAATTAATATAAAAAAGTACTGATGGCCTGTCAATTCAATTTAGGTGAGACATTCAGGAGTCTGTTCTTTCAGTATCGGGTGGGAGAACGGACAATTTCATCAATTGTGGAGGAAACTTGTAAAGCATTGTACATGAAACTGAAAGATGAATATCTAAAGGTGTGTAATCTATATAACACAACGTTAACGATTATTGGAAGGGAATCAAATTCTAAATAAAACAAGCAAATCGTATTATTTCTATTTTTATTGCAATGATCATTCAATGGACAGTATTTTTAATCAAAGTTGTTTATCGGCTTGCATGTCACCACTTTTTATATTTTGAAACCTCCAGATGTCTTCGGGGGCACTAAAGGTCTGGCATGAAGAGTGGGATGATGGACATGGCTCCTTACTGTTAAACTGGGAATGAGTGCTTACAGCCTGATTGGTTATGCCTGTCATACTATAACTGGAATTATCTCGTTGGAAAAAATGTGGTTGTGGTGGTAGAGGCACAATAGATCCATATGGGTTTTCTTGAGCTAATAAACCAGTTTGTGCCTGGAAAGGATTTGATTGATTTTATGTTGAGCCAAATGTTGAACTCTAGTGTCAAGTTCAGATAATGTTTGTGTCACATATTGTCCAAATGCATCAAGCTGCCTGTTTGCTGGTTTTCTGTGCCTTTGCTTTTCTTTCAGCAATGGATTGTGCCAAACCTTGTATCAATTTATATTCTTCTTCAGTTTTGCCTCTTCCTGTTTGGTTTTAATTTAACAGGCTCTTTTGTTGATCTTGCTTCTTCCTGCTCCTCGTCAATGGATGGACTTGCTCCAACTTCAACAAGAAAGAACTTCTTATTCTTCAGAGCTTCTTGAAGAGACATGTTGAACTCAGAGAATGGACATTTGATTTCAAATCTCCAGGTTTCATTTTTGTAAGTGACTTCACCATCTAATGAAGCACCAAGATGAGGAAGACAATTGCCGACCAACTTCAGAAACTTGAGGAGCATCAATACCTTTATTTTTCAGTAGCATTATATAGAGCTCTTCAACATGTGCTTCGTGTTTCTGGTCATGGCAAGTTGCAGCCATTGTGAAAGATTTATAAAATATAGATTTAAGCTTGGAAGAAGGTTCAGCAGAGTTTACAGCAGCAAAGTAAAAGTTGGGTGCAGTGATTTGATACATACGATGCTTTTTCCAATCATCATTTGAAGCTTGACCATGTGTTGATTTCTCAATATTGGAAATTTCTTCTTGGGACAATATTGTATTATAGCAATAATTGTCCATCATTTCTCTGAAGGAGGAAGTTGAAATATCGTAATATTCATTTAAGGAGATGGATTCATAGAAGAAAAGATGTTCAAGATTGGATGCAGAAGCCTCAGTTGAAGCAAATGTGTCAGAATCTGCAGGTTCAGAAATTTCATGAAAGCCAAAAAACCACTGTTTGTTAAAGCTTCTGCCAATTTCGTTTTAAGGGCTTCAAGTCTTTTATCATTGATAGCTTTATCAGATCGAGCATGTGGATCAAAGAATTTGTAGCGAGACAAATTACTTTTATCATTGTCCTTTCAAAACTTGACTTTTTGTATTATCACTTCATCTTTTGGAGAGGAATTGTTTGATTTAAGAGCAGATGCATTTGGAACATTCTAAGAAGACAGCTTTGAAGTGCATGATACAGCAGATGAATACTCTCGTAAACCACGTCTGTTGAAGTCTTCAAGAGCAAAGAAAACACCTCCAACATGGTTACAGTTGCCAAAACCACGAAGACCAATAACAGCAGGACAAGTACATGCAGCAGAGCAAACATCACCAGACTTGACTGACAATTGTGAAATAACTTTGTATAAACACTTGTTCATTGAAGCTTTGATGATGAGAAATTCGGGTAATTTGGTTGTTTTTACTGTTAAAGTCTATATCGATTTGTTCAAGCTCCAGAATTTTATCTTCAAGCTCCCAAGGAAATTCTTTGTATGTTTAGGCAACATCTGTCTCCAAAAAGTTTGCCAAGACATCAGCTGTAGCATTTAAAGAGATTTGGTGATTGTTTGTTAAAATGGTTATCTCACAGG